ATATATCTATACATACACACACACAGGGCTTGAAAAATTTTAGGGTGTCTCACCAGTCAGTCAAAAATGTCCCCAGTCAGCATGACCGGAATATAGCCTTGCAATTAAACATTTTTTGGGGACACAGAGCTTTCTTTGGTGGTATATAAATCACCACTGGGGTTTTATTTTTTTTAACTATATAATGAAAAAAGTACAGTAAATAAAAGATAAAAACATTTTCCCTACGTTATATTATAAAACATTTATTCTCACCCATATTTTTGGTAAAACATAAAAGTCAAAAGTCGGGGTCACGTCGGTTAAATAGACACCAAACATGTCAAACCTTAAAATTGCGCACGCCTGCAAAATTGCAAAAAAAGACCACTGAAAATTGGCCATAGACGACGCTTAAAACAGTTTTACTGCTCATCAGTAATTAGTGGCCCTAGAATTATTGCTCGCACTCCGACGTTCGCTGTGATATGCAATATATGCCGCACAATAGGCTCAATTGTCGGTTTCACACCTAGGCGCATCCGACGCATATCTGTGTGTGTATGTGGGGGGTGGGGGACTTAAACTTTTTTTTTAATTTTTTTATAGACTGAGAGGGGATCAAAGGGTGATTGTGTACTGATCTCCCTTTGATATTTTGTCAGAGCAGCCGTGCCGGTCCCGGCCACATCAGGCACAGCGGATCTCGGGACCTGCACGGCAGTGACAGCTGCTGCTAATATAAGCGATTGGGCGTCTCTAGAGACGCTCGATCGCTTGAATGTAAGCTCCCGGCCGGCCGTGTAATTACAACGGCCGGTCGGGAAGCTGCTCGTCGGGCTCCACCGTCCTCTCGACAAGCCCTGTATATATATATAGATCTATATATAGATATATATTAGATATATATAATCAGACAAGATATATATATAAACAGACAAGTCAAATCTATATATATGGCCGGTGAGTGTATATACAAAATGCCAATTGAGTGAAGAAAAATCTAAATCAAATCAATATTTAGTGTGACTACCCTTTGGCTTCAAACCAGCGTCAATTCTTACACTTGCACAAAGTCAGGGATTTTGTGCAAGTGTAAGAATGAGGTAGAGGCAGGTGTATGATTAACCAATTATACCAAAGCATGTGCTAATGGTCATCAATTTCATATGTAGGTTGAAACACAGTCATTAACTGAAACAGAAAAAGCTGTGAAGGCGGCTTAAAACTGGGTGAGAAACAGCCAAACTCTGCTACTAATGTGAGGTTGTAGAAGACAGTTTTATGTCTCAGGCCATACACCATGGCAAGTATGAGCACAGCAACAAGATACAAGGTAGTTATAATGCATCAGCAAGGTCTCTCCCAGGCAAAGATTTCAAAGCAGACTGGGGTTTGAAGATGTGCTGTCCAAGCTCTTTTAAAGAAGCACAAAGAAATGGGAAACGTTGAGGGCCGTAGACACAGTGGCCAAGGAAACTTAATGCAGCAGATGAAAGACACATCATGCTTACTTCCCTTTGACATCGGAAGATGTCCAACAGTGCCATCAGCACCGAACTGGTGGACACCAGTGGGGCCCAGGTACACACATCTACTGTGCAGGGAAGTCTGGCCAGAAGTGGTTTTCATGGAAGAATTGCGGCCAAAAAGCCATACCTCCAACGTGGAAACAAGGCTAAGCGACTCAGCTATGCACTAAAACATAGGAACTGGGTGAAGAAAATTGTAGCAGGTGCTCAGGACTGACAAGTCAAATTTTTAAATATATGGCTGTAGCAGGAGGCTGTTTGTTTGCCGAAAGGCTGGAGAGCAGAATAATAATGAGTGTCTGCAGGAAACGGTGAACCATGGTGGAGGTTGCAAGTCTGGGGCTGCATTTCGGCAAATGGAGTTGGAGATTTCGTCAGGATCAATGGTGTTCTCAATGCTAAGAAATACAAGCAGATACTTATCCATCATGCCATACCATCAGGAAGGCATGTGATTGGCCCCAAATTTAACAAGCAAAATTAAAAGCAAACCCACTCATCAATTCATAACCAGCTGTTGGCCCCAAATTTATTCTGTAACAGGACAATGATCCCAAACATACAGCTAATGTCATAAAGATCTATCTTTAGGGGAAAGAAGAACAAGGAGTCCTGGAGGTGATGGTTTGGCCCCCACAGAGTCCTGATCTCAACATCAAGTTTGTCTCTGGGATTACATGAAGAGACAGAGGGACTTGAGGCAGCCGACATCCACAGAAGATCTGTGCTTAGTTCTCCAAGATGTTTGGAACAACCTACCTGCCGAGTTTCCTTCAAAAACTGTGTGCAAGTGTACCTAGTAAAACTGATGCTGTTTTGAAGGCAAAGGGCGGTCACACCAAATATTAATTTGATTTGGATTTCTCTTCTGTTCATTTACTTTCCATTTTGGTAATTAACTAACACTGTTATTTCTGAAAGCATTCTTACTTTACAGTATTTTTTCACACCTGCCTAAATCTTTTGCACAGTACTGTATATCTTATCCATCCATCCATCCATCCATCTTTCTATCGATCTATCTATCAGGAGTGGACAAATTAATATGGAAGTCAGGAGCCAGTATGTGCAATTCAGAAGTCAACAAGATTTTTTTTTTTAGGAGCCAGCTCCATTGACAACAATTAGAGACAACCCTAAAAGTTAGGCGTCAGCTGCAATCAACAATAACAATTTTCTAAGCTTCAAAAACTCATATGCGAACATAATGTTAATTGAAATGTTATCAATGAGAAACATATGAAATTGTCACTGTTGTGTTAAGTAGATGCATGTTTTACAGCATCAGAACTTAGCACTGGAAAGCTCTACTGGACTTTCACTTTGAGCTTTACCATTCTTTTCAATTATATTGCAGGTATGTGACATTCTTTTAATCAGCTTAACAGGTATAATGTGAAAAATCTACTCTCAGCCTTTAATTGAGGACCTGCTACTCTACCAGGATGGGCGCCTCCATACCATGATAAAGTTTGGAACAAGCCATTGGGAAAATATTAGCTGCCCCTATCCTACAGGCTATATTAGTGATTAGTCCTACTTCTTCCATTTTCCCTTTTCCTGGGGACAGCTTTTACAGTATAGGTCCTCGTTAACAACTTGTTTGCATACCAACTTCTCTTGTTCCAGATTCCTTTGCCCTGAAAGAATTCCACACCAGGATCAGGCACCAGCTGTGCCTTCTCAATCAGCATCGAACACTATCAAATACATCAAACCTTTACAATATATCAGATCTCCCACTGAGTGAACATGATTGTCTTAAGGTTATTTGCTGTTGTTTAGTTTATACATAGTGAGACTGATTTGCAACTAACCAAGGTATTTGTATCATACAAAAATCCTAATTCATTAGTTGACAGCTTCAAGTGGACCTGTACTCATAAGCTAACATAAAGAAATGGTAGCAGTCTGAATAAAACGGAAAAAAGTAAACAGTAAAGGTTAAACGAGTCAGATCACCGAATAGGTGGCCATGGTCTCTGCCCCCCCCCCACCCACAACTCTACCACCCAACAAGTCTCACTTTTATACCAACCAGAAGAAGGAGATTAGATGCAAGACTAGCAAGCAGGCATGCAGCAGCTATCTTTAAAAAAACAGTCAGGATTCCTAAGAGCACTTATTCTCAAGTGCTAGTCTTTAAGTGTAACAGTCCATTACAACCAATCAAAATTATGAACCCACAAGAACATTAGCATCTAGCAGGCTAGC